AGCCGTTTTTGGTGTGCCATTTTTTGAAAATACCACTATAGGTTGGTTATTTGCAAAAATGCAACTAATTAGCATTTTTAACCATGAAGTGTCGTATTTCTGATTAACCACCATTGACAATGTTTAACCATGAAGTGTCGTATTTCTACTTAATTTGATATTTGTAAAATTAAAAAATATTTAATGCGCGTATCATGCATAGAGTCATCTAATATATTATTAAACTTAAATAAGGTTTGTATGTCTATACCCATATTCCAACTACTTCGAGTTTTTGGGGTTAGATTAGATTGGATAGGGTTGCCGAAACCACTTCACTGACTCATATTTTTGTTATTACTCAATTACAATATTCTACACATTTACTCTCTAACTTTATAGCTCATGAATTGACTGTAATCTATTTCATTAAATACAAATTAATTCCATATATCAGAGCACGTTTAAAAACAAAAACTATAAAAAACACAAGATCTTTCTTTACTTTTACATGGTGTTTCTCGCTGCGGCGCCGCCAGTGGCAGCCAACAATTTATGCCTGCCTATGGCCATGATCTCTCAAGGTACATCCAACATCCCTGCCTATTCCAGTAACAACATTTTTTACTGATGACGTCGAATCATCAAATGCTCATGTATTGTTGATCATTGATGAATCCGAATACTGTAAAATATTCAGATCTCTCAAAAAATCCAAGAGACTAGGTTTCTAAAAATAATAGCTCAACGATTAAGTAAAAATGATGGACAAGAGAGCAAAAGTGTGCGCTATTATTCAATATAAGTACATGGATATTTATGCAAGTACTAGTCGGTCGACTAAACCATAACAGATAAGGAAAACTTCATATTCTCTAGTAAATTTTTTGTCTTCAGGTTAATCTTTTCTTTTTTCTTCGGAAACCTCAAGGTCGGCTGAACATTGTGAGCTCGGGTCGAGCTCACTCTTTTGTTGACCTCGTCGCCATGGGTGTAACTCGTCTGCCTTCCTAGTAATCTTCAGGATTCCAATCATTGGTGGTT